TCAAGTGTGACCTCATCACATTTGCTATTTACCCCGACCCCTCTTTTTCGATGGGCTTATCCCACTCGGGCCTCCAATCCAGATAGTTTCATTGTCTCGTAGATCCGTTCCTTAACTTCCTGGTTTACCGATTTCACTCGGGTCCAGTCCCTGTGTGCCTTTCACTCCTGGCACAGGCTGAAACTTCCTGGCGCTATTTCTCAAGGCCGTAGAAGCTCTGAATCCCATGCGACATCTCAAGTGGATTTCTAGTGCATTTTGTTCACAACCCTTAATTCCTATGACGGTGTGCCCAGCTCCCTAACTGTCAGGCCCTCAAAGTTGTACTGGTTTATTCAAATTGCCATCATTCACTGAAGTCTTTGCTTAATTGTCGAATATCCCTGCGACCATACCCGAGGCTACAACATCTTGGTCTTCACATCTTCAATATAAATCTTCATGTTATTTCAGGTCTGCAGCTGGCTGAAACTTGCACAATTAGCGGACTCAAACTGGAAGCATTGCTGCTGAGACGAGGCATTCACAAAACGCGCCCAACGGCGCAGCCGGGCTGCCAAATCTGGCAAGTGACGTGTCCACTTCTGGAAGTGTACAAATGCATTTGGGTTTCGAGGAAACTCTTGTTTCATAATTGTTGAGCTTACTTCCATTTCGAGTGAAAGTGAAGCGGTGAAGACATTCAAAGGTCGATTCCACCAAAACTTGATGACCGGAAGCGGACGTTACTTTTGCTGTCCTAATTACTTTGAGCCATCGCTGCGGATTTCGGACATAAGTGAACACAAACAGGCACATACGCATACAGAAACAGACACGCTCACAGGCTTCGAGGTTGACATATGAACAAATCACTTTTTACCTGATCAAAGAGGCCAGATGTAGAGTAGAGTGAGTTTCCTTGACTCGTTAGCTTGACTTTGGTTGTGACAATGATATCTTGTTCTGATGATGTTCGTCATGCGATAGACGAAAGCTTGGCACCTTTTCACCGGAATCGAAGGGGATTGCCTCGGAAACAGCGTCAGCAAGAATGTTCCAGTAAAGCCAATCGAAAGCTGGTCAAGATGAATCCGCCGTCGTCTTGTGGTGAAATAGAACTTCGAATCTCTTCACCGCTTCACTTTCACTCGAAATGGAAGTAAGCTCAACAACAGGGAAGTGATTTCGACTCGTTTTCACGACTTAGTTGTGTTGTCAAGGCGACCTAAATGAACACATCTTGTCCAAGGCTTCTGCCCCAATAATTAATGTTTGATCGTGGATTTGGCATATTCCAAGACATGTCGCCGGAATTGTTAGCGAGTTGTGCTGGCGAAGCGTCAGGAGATATACCAAACACATGGTTGCAGCGGCAGGCGACTTCAGACAAGATCCATCCAAGTTGTGAAAACGAGGTGACATCACTTCTGTAAAGCGAAAGGAGGCCGCAGCCGAGATGGAGGCCATACCAACTTGGTCCACAAAAAGGCCTATTGTGGAGGCAGGATAGTTGAATAATGTTAGAGTTATTTGGATAAATGTATCCGCTTTCTGCAACCTCTTGGCCCACGGGACTGGCTTTGATGAGGTGGGTTGCGGAGACGCCGCGTGGGGTCAGAAGGAGGGCAGAACAATTGGCAAATGTATGCGCGGCAGTTTGAAGAGGCCCATTAAAGCGGCCTAAAAAACAAGGGGCCAAACAGAACGGCAGGAATGACCAACACAGCGGTCACTTGAGGAAGGCAAAAATGCGCATTTATAATTTACCTTCTCACAGGCGCGACGGCTCGATGAGTGACTGATCGATCGATTGGGAACGACGCTCAGTGTCACGTCCGGCAAGCCACGCCTTGTAAGAGAGTGTGTGTGTGTGTGGGGCATGTGCTGAGCATGACAGAGAGGAGTGCGTGCGTAAGCGCACTCACTGGATGGCTTTCAGGTGGCAGTTTGTACTCGCAACATCTGGCCTCAGTGGAGTGCTTGTATGCCACCGA